GAGTCGACGGTGCGTGCGCGTTCGTCGCCGCCGCGGAAGCCAAAGGATTCGCCGAGTGAATTCGAGGAGGAACGCGCGCGAAGATTGCGGGGGCGGCGGTGGCTCGCCGTCGGTTTCGATTCGCTCGTCGCGACGAGCGGAATCCTCCTCGGGAGGACGCGCGGGAACAGTCCCGACAGGAACGTCAGCGACGTCGGACCGCTACGATCGTCGATAGGCCGTTTCAAGGTTGCTGCTCGCGAGCCGGGCGCGCGACCCTCGCGGAACATCCTCGCCGGCCGGTGTCCGCTCGTCACGGTTTCGTTCTACTTTTTGGCAAGCTTCGAGCGACACCGGCGAACGTCTTCGGAGTGCTAGCCGCGTTCCCCGACGGGACGTCTCGCGCGCTGGGACACCGGAACTGATCGCAAGAAATCCGAATGACTCATCTGACGCCTCTCGTAAATATCGAGAAGCCAACTCGAAGGAACTGCGGAGGAAGTTGAATCCAGTAACACGCGAACTGAATATACGGAGCATCGGTAAATGAACACTTATAGTTTTCGAAGAGAGTTCACTCGTCCCAGCGTCAGTTTCTTAACCGGTTATATGTATCTCAATATTCATTCGTGTCCGCCCGGAATTCGCCGAGCAGGTTCTCCGCTAGAATTGACTTGAGTATTCTATCTTGCTCGAGGTGATGATATATTGATTGAAACCAGACGCTTAACGAACGGTGTTCGCTATCCGCTCCCGTTGTGGAACCGTGCTCGGCGAATTTTGGACGCGAATGCCATCCAAGAGCGTCTACAGATCGGTTAATGGAAGAACGCTCGTACGTCGTATTGAGATCGTGACCACTGGCGAGGGAAGCGCAGATTCTCGACGTTCAACGCGATCTACTCCCTTTCCAGTAATTACCGAAACGTGCCGGGACGCGGCTGGGAGCACTCGAAGATCCCTGTATCCCGCGGTGGATCGCGCGCACGCGCCTCGCGGTCGCAGATCGCACGCAAACCGATCTCGCGTTAATCCTACGTACAACGACTACGCTAGTACTGCCACCTTTATCGCTACGTCTACCGGTAACAACATCAACAGCAACAACACATAATATATCAACATGAATATATAGATATATGTATATATATAAATATATATAAATATATATACCTATATATATATACATAATATCTGTCCTCGTAACCTAAGTCCTTACGCTTACACGGTAGGTACACGGTAGTCGCGGCGCGCGCGCCGCTGCGAACCGAGCGAAACGCGCGTCCGCGAGCGGCGCGCGCCCCGCTACACAGGAATATAGGAAGAGGACGAAGAAGCGGGCTTCGTCCTGAGCGAGTGTCCGCGCGGAACGCGCGCGGAGAGTCGATCCGTCGCCGCAAGGTAAATCAACGATCGGCCCGGCCGAGCGAGGCGAAACGTTCCGCCTGTAATGTGTTCGCTCTCCCTCGACCGGGCCGGCCGATCAGCGCGAAATTCGCTACAGCTAAATCAACGTCCGATGTCCTGATCAACGAGAAGCGGTCGGACGACGCGCCGATCCCTCTCCGCGCGAACGAAACGGTTTTATCAACGAAGAGTACTTGGCTAATCGAGGAACAGCTCTCACAGTTATCACGGATATCACTCCTGAACGTTTCGCTCTCGACTACGAAGCGTTGGAAGCATTGCTGCGCCGCCTGCTCGCGACACCGCCGCGACCTGCCCGGGCTCGATCGGATTTATACAAGGTAGCCTCGACCCCGGGAGGATCGCGGCGGTCTCGCCGGAACGCGCGTCGTTCGCGGACTAAACGATCGGAAATACATTGACACACGCATTAATGTGTATACGAACGGTACATGTACACTTACATATATATATATATGTATATATATATATAATTTTTTCTTGTATGTATATGTGTATATAGGGTGATCCTCATAGGGCCGACGGGACGCGGGATCGAGCGCTAGAAAAAACGGAAGCGACTAGTTCACTCGTGCCTTCGGTTCCGTCGAGGATCATTCAGTCGCCGATCTCCTACTTTATAGGATCGGTTGAACCTTCTCCATGTTTCCAGGTGTCAACCCTTTAACCCTTTAACTACCTCAACCGCGCAACGCGTTGCAAACAGCGCCTATAGCCGTGTCTTCAGCCTAACGATGCGCATTAATATCTCGCGTAATGGCATCGATTCTTAGAATTGTTTCCAGAAAATCGAGTGTAACTCCCATGCGCCTCCGTCGTGAATACATTCCTCCGTTTCGTTCTCGATCGCAGTCAAAGGATCACGAATGATTTCTCGTTTCTAGCGGAACGTCGGGAAGTCGTCCCTTGTTTCTAGGTTCTCGCTAGTGAAATCGTTCCTGACGGCTCGCACCTGGAAGCATGGAAGAGGACGTTGTAAGATTCCTGGCTGCGACAGCCTCGAGCGAGCCCGATCGGTCGTTCCCGGCCGTGAATCGTTCCGTCGAACGCGCGCTTCTCGCGAACGGCTCCGCCGTGTACCCGCGCGGATCGCGTGCCCGCGTCGGCCGCGCTGAGGATCGCCCGCCACGCGTATATAAACTTCCGATAATCTCGTGCGGACTTAGCGTAACGCGCTATCGATTCGCCCCCGCGTCGGGACGTCGGATGCAGTCCGGCGGGGCGAACCCGCTGCCTAATTAAATATTACCCGCTCGCTTGCGCCTTACGTTGTACGTTACATATCTCGCGTCGCCTAATATTGGATTATCACTGTTTCGGGTGCCGGCGACCGGGTACACCGGTTTCTTTCGTTCTTCTTGCGCACGCCGGAGGAAACGCAAATGGTAACTCGGATAACGCGGCGTAGCGAATCGAACGGAAAACTCGTAACGCAAGGAACTGACGGTTTCGCGGGAAACTTTTGACGCTAGGACTACCGAACGGACGAATGATTGATCGTTCGTAGAAACTAGGAATTCATTGAGATTTCGATTGACTTGTACTGTCGCAGGTTACTTATATATCCGTTTAAGAATTCCTTAGAACAGTTCCTTTTGAATACTTATAAAGAAATCAGAAATGAGCCACTTTATCGGTAGTTCTAGTGTGAAATCGGAAGAACGATACTTTTCGGTAACTGATCGTTGGACTGCGGATATTTATGCACTCGCAAATCGTATTGCAGATCAGGAAGAGATTCGATTGAAGTTTAACGAAGCGAGATCGCATAAATATCCGCAGGCTTGATTACACGCTGTTTGTTACATTAATCGATCACATTGTAACCTGCCAAACGGGTAATTCGATTCGCGTACGCACAAGCGAAATAACAATGACTCGAAGCGACCTCAAGCGTGACTCGACTCGCGTTGTCACGAGCGAGTCGCTTAACAACGAAAGAATAAATTAGTGGAAGATACGTTCGAATACTTCAGGAAGCAACGTAATCCAACCGATGCGTGGCCGCAAGCGTGAAATCGTCCGATAGTGGCTTCGAAAGAAAATTTCAGGTATTCCCGTGCTTTCAGTTCTGATACCGTCTACACCAGCCGCAATGAACGCCGAGATCTCCGATCTCGTTCGCGAGAGACTCGAAATGGAACGACCCTGGATGCTAGGAATTCACGCGTACCCCATGCCGGACATGGTTCACCGGGACGCGCGGGTACCGGCTGCGTCGTGATATAAAAAACGTTGTCCCGTTACAGAAAGAAAGCGACGACGGCGAAACTATCGAACGGTAGACGAATAGCTTATCAACGATTCAGGATCGGGTTCAGTCTCCAAATCGAAGGGAATTTTCATTAATCCGCGCGCGACCCCTCGACGCAACGTGAACGGCGACGGTTGCACACAGGCTGTTCCAAAACACGTGGCCCGAATCGAAAAGCAACTCTATTCTCCGAGAACAATAGAAACAGCTTGAAATCCTTCTGCCAGAAAGTAAACGGCGAACGTTAGTCGAAAGATAAAAGCTTACGTGGGGAGGAATAACATTTAACTGGCACTAAAATACGAGCGTTCCGTTCGAACTCGACGGAACGATCCGATTAAACGAATGGAAAATTATTTTGAAGACACGCGATGAAACGTGATCGACGAACGAACTCGTAGTTCCGGTTAATAAACGGAGAGGAAAAGATCACCTTTCGGATCGTTCAACATATTTCGTCAACATCCTGTCTAGTGGCATAGGTGTCCCTTTCTTCGCGCTAACAATGGTCGCGACCCGCTCGCGCGTACGTCTCGTGTGAACGTGTATCCACATATGTACGTGTATTCGTGTGCGTGTACGTTACACATATGTATATACGTATACATATACATATACATATACATATATATATATATACACATATATGTACACATTAGTCTCGCCGGCAAGGACCTTTACGAAAAGCTCGCGATTTTTCTTTCTTTCTGTGCTTTCTTTACACTTCCCGCGTATTTCGGCGATTTTTTTCTCTTCATACTTTTTCTCTCTTTCGTTCTTCGTACGAAATAATAAATAAACGGGATGGATCACACGGGAGATTTACAACGCGCAAGTGTATTAACCCTAGCCTTCGTTAAAGCTAATAAGAATATATATATATATATATATATATATATATATATATATATATATATATATATATATATATATGT